CATATCAAGGTCACATTTACATCCCTCAATCCACCTATAGATATATATGAGTGTGTAGCTCTTCTCATCCTTCCAGCCTCTCTAGCTTCTCTAGATTAGGTATAAACTCAATGTTTTGACCTCTCTGATTGGGAGAGTCGAAATCTATCTCATTTTATAAGAAATACTTAGATCTGTTATTCATCTGAAAACTGAATGTAGCTTGAATATTTTTTGAAAAACTTTGAGTGAAAAGAAATAGAGATTTTTGCAAATCGAAAACTAACCTCATGGTTTTCGGGATGCCGTCCACAAAAAAAAGCCGTTTTATAAATCGCGTTTAGAAATGAGAAAAATCAATTACATCATGGAGTTTTGAGGTCATTTTAATGTATTTTGAATGAAGTATGAGTTTTTTCAAACGAAGTAAAAACAGTCTGAAAGCTCTACTTTTTGGAAATCTTGGTTTCATCACCTTTTTAATTTTTTTGGAAAAACAAATATCGTCATCCCATAAAGCATAGTCGATTATGCAAGTTCCATGTGTTCTCATATGGTTACTGAAGTCAGCGGGTAGAGCTGGGCAACTCAACTCCGGAGTTGAGTTGGAGTTTGCTGCTTAAACGAACGAAGTTGAGTTAATGACAGGTTTTGTTAACTCCAACTCCGAAACTCCGGTTAAAAATTTCTTCAATTTCGACTACATCAGTTCCTGTGGAGCGTGTTTTTTCACAATCAGGTCTTTGGTTTCGATCACATCGTATGGTTTGACGGAGAATATGCTTTTAAAATTAACATTGTTGAAATGTAATTTTAATTTATTATAATGACTTTTTTTGTGCATACTGTTATAAAAAGAAAATATGACCGTTATACGGACGAATTAAAAAACAGGAAGGAAAAAGGGCGAATAGATTTTAATTCGGAGTTGAAATGGAGTTGGAGTTGAGTCCCTCGGAGTTGGAATTGGAAATTAGATTTCTTAGCGGAGTTGAAGGTTTACCTAGTCGGAGTTGCTCAGCTCTGTCAGCGGGTATCAGTCCTACAATTCTAAGCAAATCATATACTACATCCAAATCATTGAGAATCGTGATCTCGTTTGACTTCCATTTTCGAAAGGATATTTTGGGTTGTTAACTCATGTAAACAAACTTTATATTACCATTTTAGTTTTTGGAGAAACACCTCCTCGACATCCGTCTCAGAAAACTGTTTTTACTTATGAAAAGAATCCAGATTTCCTGTTTTGTTTCGTGAAAACCACAAGTCTCTATTTCAAAAAATAATTCGCCGCGTTTAAGTCTATAATGAACGACAATTCCTTCAAAGAAAAAGTATATAGATCTAAAGATCGCATTTTTTAGCTGATATTTGGTTTGTATCTTAAAAAACCTTTGTTTATAAACGTTCTATTAACTTTGAAATTTTCAACGGATCGATTAGTTGAACTATTATTTTTTATAGGCGCAATGTGGTCGTATGTTACTTATTTGGCTGTCGGCAATAATGTTTACAATACATTCGGTATGCTTGTTCCGTGGATGCTTTTATGCGGTTACATTCGACAAATCCCTTCATGGAGTTATACGGGTTCTGTGGCCGCTTTTACTCCTGTTGTAATCAATTTGGGTCGTCTACCGTATGGAGATAGTATACCAGCTAGTAATTATGCTCTATTGAGAATCGAGGAAAATTTAGTGGGTATCAGTATTGGTGTTGTATTGACAATTTTAATCTTTCCAGTATTCGCTGTTGATGTATTAAAAGAAAACATAAATAAAACGTTAATTACATGTAAAGATTCAATTCGAACTATACACACCGTCTATGATCAATTACTGTTACACACAGAATCTCATCCGTTAAATAGTAACACTTTTAAAATTAATATTGCAAAAGAATCCTTAATTGGTGCATTTTTATCTCAACAGTTTTCAAAATTTCAAAAACTGATCGGTGCTCAATATACGTTAATCACACAAGCTTCTATTGAACCAACATTCTGGCTTAACAAATTTTCCACAACACAATATAAAGCATTGATCACTCAACAGATCGATATATTTCGTATGCTGCATAATATTGATACATCATTAATCAGAATTAGTGAAACATGTTCAAATATCGAACGATTGCAACAAATTGGTCTCATACCAAATCTTCATTCAGAAATATGTCAAATAACGGGCCAACTTGGTGATTGTGTAGATTTATGGAGTAAATATTTTACCATGACACAGTCAATTTGTAATTGTAAAAGACAGAAAACTGATACAACCGTGGACGAAATGCAAAACATTCAACAACAACAACAACAACAACAACAGCAGAGTACAGCTTCCAGCTCTCAATCTGATAAAAAACTTCATCCCGATGATTATATACTTGAACATGAAGAACGTTTGATTTCTTTACATAGTTCAGTGAGACAGTTATATGCACAACATCAACTGTCATTGAATAATCTTCTTTCATATTTATTAGAAAAATTAAAGCAAGAAGATCATCAAACATTAGCTCAGTTGTTACCGCATACAACAAATGATGATATGGATGCAGTTATTGTTGCTCTTACATCACTTTTCTATTCTATAACACATTTGATAAATGCAGTCATCATGCTGGGCACGGGAATACATACAATATTTGAATTAGAGACTACAAATATATACAGAAAATATTAGTTGAATCTTTTTGTATTTTCTACGAATTGTAATAATAATAATAATAATAATAATAATAATTCCACCAATGTAATTTAAAGAACAATTCATGGTTATCGCTTCCTGTAGTATACAGATTGGCATTGCATATCACCGGATGGAAAAATTTCAAAAGCTTGTTCGGTCGAAACCGATTGCAGATTCGTTTTCTCCATGGTTGATTATGTGGTACGCAATAACTTTTGGATCGGGGTACTTTAGAAAAAAATTTTCCCATGGTCTTGCTC